TGGGGGGGAGGGGGGAGAAGCCGGTGGCTCTGTTGGCGGGGGGAGGAGCTCCCACAGACTGGTGGCCAGACACTGCTTCAATCTCCTTGGGAAGAGGTGGTCTGAGGTTGGCACGCGCAGCCCCGCCCTCTGTGTCTCCCTGCTCCTCCCCAGGCAGCTCAGCTAGTACTGTGCACAGTTGTTCCTTGTGCCACAGAAGGCCGCGCATCGCTTGTGATTCCCAGCCTGCGCCTGGGCCCTGCAGCCAAGCTGTGGGTATAGGAAGAGCTTAAGATCTTGGTCAGAGCCAAGCCAACGTGCAAGGGCCACAGCACGCCTCCTGGTCCCTGATCCTCCGCCTGCCCAGCCCGTCGCCACCAGGATCCCTCCTAAGAGGGTGTGGGTGCTGGCTCCTTGGGTGCTGCCCAACCCATCCTTCCAGGACTAAGCAGGCCAGGCTGGGTCCACCCCCCAACCCCCACCCTCGGGAGGGCCAGATGATTCAGCGCTCCACTCCTATCCTTCCCACTGCAGCTGCCTTCCCCACCTGGGAAAGCTGGGCAGCTTCCCACAGGGGTCTCTGCATTAGGCACCCCCCACCCCGGAGGGAGGCCAGCGGCCCACACTCTGCCCTTCCAGGGCTGAGGCTGCAAGAGCATCCTTCCCACCCACCGAGTAAGGGAGCTGCCTGCTGGCTTAGACCAGGGCCCTGGCTGCCCCTCGAACGGGGTTTCCCTAAGGCAAGGCTGCCTCTTCCCCTCAGCTGAAGGCTCCCTGATGGGGAGCATCATGCCTTCCTCCTCAGACCAGGGCTGACTACCAACATGGAGCACAGAGGACAGGCCTCAGCAGGGCCTTCCCTTCTGTCTAGGGGCTCTGGCGGCACGAGAAATGCCCACGCTGGCGTCCCAGAGCTGCTCTGTGTGGTGAGAACCAGTTTCCCAGTGGCCCTCCCGCCCCTAGACGCCGAGTGCCACTGAGAGGCGCTTCAGGAGCCTTGTACTGGGAGCAGGCATGCACGGCTTGCAAACCGTGGGCCCTAACTGAGTCCTGGGGAAGAGGGAGAGAGGTGGTGGCGAGGGGCCCCCAGAAGTACAGAGCCAAGCATATGGAAGTCAGGGAGCCCCAACTCGGGAGAGGAGCCCCCACCCCGCCCAAGGGGGAGTGGGGACAGACCCTTCAGGTGAGGCAAAGCCACTGAGCACAGTCCAAAGGCATGGGAGCTGAAAGGTACCTGCAGTCAGACGGAGGCCCTGCAGGAGCCACCCCCCGCCCCCCACCTGGCCAGGCCGGCCCTGCCGCCCTCACCTCTGCACTCTGCTCCTCGGAGGAGTCATCATAGTCGTGCTTGCCCTCCTGGCTGCCATACTCGCGGGGGTACGAACGGTAGTCCATGTCTCGGTAGTCATGGTCCCGGCTGCGGTTCTCCCCACTGTCGTCCTGGGAACGGTCAGCGGCTCCATAGCGGCCAGTCCTGTCCCCACGACCACCCCTGGGGGAAGGCAAGCGGGAGGGGTCACAGGGCAGTCCTTTCTGAACCGTGCAATAGGTGAAGCCCGACCCACTCACTCTTTGTAGACCCTCACCCCAACCCCCGACAGGGGTCCCTAAATCCGGACCCCGCAGGGTGAGCAGGCTCCCACCTCTCTCACTAACACAATGCACTCCTCTCCTTCCCTCCCTCGCCTCTCCATTCCATGCTGTCTTCCTCCCCTGGGCTGCAGGTGTGGAGTCCTGACCTCCACCCAGGACTCCAGCCCACTTCACTCTCTACACCCCAAACGTGAGTGAGTGCTCTACAAGGCAAAGCCAACTGAGCCCAGTCCTATCGCTCCCTGCAGTGTCTCCCTCTTAATCTCAGGATAAAACACAAAAACGCTCACCAAGGCCCTACAAGGTCTGCAGGGCCCTGCAGGCGAAGGTTCCTGCCAACCTCCCTCTCTATCTCTGCCTCACCTTGCATTTTGCGCCCTGCCTGTCTCAGTCACCTTGCCAGCACTAGCAGCTGTTTCGTTTAAACTCCCACTGTAATAACTGTAAAGTCATTATTGCAAAGTTGACTTAATGTGCATTTCTTCGATACTTAAAAAAAAAGTATTAGACTGGCACAGCCGGCGTGGCTCAGTGGTTGATGTCAACCCACAAACCAGGAGGTAACGGTTCAATTCCTCGTCAGGGCACATGCCTGGGTTGCAGGCTCGATCCCTAGTGGGGGGCGTGCAGGAGGCAGCCGATCAATGATTCTCTCTCATTGTTGCTGTTTCTTTTCCCTCTCCCTTTCTCTCTGAAATCAATAAAAATAAATTTTTTTAAGTGCCCTCCTCAAAAAAAAAAAAAAAAAAGAAAGAAAGAAAGAAAAGAAAAAGTAAACTAGATTGAGTTCTGGGAAATGAAAGAATCATACCCATTTGGTTTACTGCCCTAGTCTCCAAAGCTTAGCTTAGTGCCTAGTACTCAGTAGGTGCCCAATGATTTATTTTTTTGATAAACTAATGATTTAAAAAGTATTCTAAAAGCAACGAATACATGTTTACTTAAAACAAGGAAATACAGCCCTAGCTGGTTTGGCTCAGTGGATAGAGCATCAGCCTGTGGACTGAAGGGTCCCAGGTTCGATTCTGGTCAAGGGCACATGCCCGGGTTGCAGGCTCAATCCCCAGTAGGGGGCACAGGAGGCAGCCGATCAATGATTCTCATCATTGATGTTTCTCTCTCTCTCTCCCTCTCTGAAATCAATAAAAATATATTAAAAAAACAAACAAACAAGGAAAAACAGACACCATATACACTACCACTAGCAGGAGCCCAATCCTGGTCAGAAACAACACTAGCATGTCTATCAGTAACATTGTTCTAAGATACTAGCTAAGCCGAAACCGGTTTGGCTCAGTGGGTGGAGCGTCGGCCTGCAGACTGAAAGGTCCTGGGTTCGATTCCGGTCAAGGGCATGTACCTGGGTTGCGGGCACGTCCCCAGTGGGGGATGTGCAGGAGGCAGCTGATCGATGTTTCTCTCTCATCGATGTTTCTAACTCTCTATCTCTCTACCTTCCTCTCTGTAAAAAATCAATAAAATATATTTAAAAAAAAATAAGATACTAGCTAAAACAACTAAACAAAGGAATGAAGAAAAGAGATTAAAAGTTGGAAAGGAGAAGGTAAAATCAGCAGTACTTGTCAATGATATGAGGATATAATCTGCAGAAATAAATACCTTGCCTGTATTCAGGGTGCCACTGTTTAGAAAACAGGAAGATCCCAAGTATAACTGCATCAAGAAGATTAACTAATGGACACGTGCAAGATCTTATGACTGACTACACTTCACTCATAAACCAGGATACATTTAAAATGGGTCGGTAATTGCTCTAGCTGGTGTGGCTCAGTGGCTAGAGCGTTGGCCTGTGGACTGAAAGATCCCGGGTTCAATTCCAGTCAAGGGCACATGCCCGGGTTGCAGGCGCGATCCCCAGTAGGGAGTGTGCAGGAGGCAGCCGATCAATGCGTCTCTCTCATCATTGATGTTTCTATCTCTCTCCCCTTCCTCTCTGAAATCAATATATCTATATATCTATATATCTATATCTATATCTATATCTACCTATATATGTTTAAAAGATCTTTAAAAAATAAAATGGGTCAACAATTGACTGATTTTTTAAATCCTCACCCAAGAACACGCTTAGAGAGAAGAGGGGGGAGAGAGAGAAACATTGATGTGAGAGAAACAGGCTCTGACCAGTGATCGGACCCACAACCTTTCAGTGCACAGGACAACGCTCAACCAACCGAGTCGCTCTGGCTGGGCTGAAATGGGTCAATGATTTAGATGGAAAAAAATGAAACATTAAAAGTAGAAGAAAACATGGGATAAATTCCTTGATAAGCTTGAAATGGGGAAAAACTATGAAACAAATCCAACCGCCATGGAAGAAAAGATAACTAAATCCGACTTCATGAAAATAAAACATGTCTGCTTGGAAAGAAACAAAACCCATCAAAAGTCCAGTGAAGACAAACAATAAACTGGGGAAGATACAAGAAAAGGAAAAAGGAAAGGAACAGAATTCACAGTAAAGAAATATAAACGATTTATATTTGAAAAGATGCTCCATCTCAATCATAATGAAAGATGAAAATTAAAATCACATTGGATACACCATTTAAAAAATAAACATTCAAATGTTATTTTTGTGTATTTTTCTAAATCATTCCCTATTGTGGTAATATATACAGAAAAATGTACACTTTAATCATTTTTATGTGTTCAATTAAACGGCACAAAGTATACTGATAACAATGGATAATCTTCACCACTATTTCCAGAACCTCTTTTTTTAAAAATATATTTTATTGATTTTAGAGAGGAAGGGAGAGGGAAAAAGAGATAGAAACATCAATGATGAGAGAGAATCATTGATTGGCTGCCTCCCGCATGCCTCCTCCTGAGGATCAAGCCCACAACCCAGGCATGTGCCCTTGGCCGGAATCGAACCCGGGACCCTTCAGTCTGCAGGCCGACGCTCTATCCACTGAGCCAAACCAGCCAGGGCGATTTCCAGAACCTCGTCATCACCCCAAACAGAAACTCCGTGCTCACTGAACAATAACTCTCTGCACAGCCTCTATTCTACTTTCTACCTCTATTAATTTGCCTCTTCTAGGTACCTCTTTTAAGTGGAATCACATATGTCTCTTTGTGTTTGACTTATTCCACTTAGCATGTTTTCAAGGGTGATCCATGTTGTAGAATGTATCAGAATTTCATTCCTTTCTATGTTGAATATGTATGTATGTATGGTATATACCCACATTGAAATTTTTAAAAATCCCCACTGAGTCCTGACCGGTTGTTCAGTGGTTAGAGTGTTGGCAAGCAGACTGAAGGGTCGTGGGTTTGATTCCCAGTCAAGGACATGTACCTTGTTTGCAGGCTCGGTCCCCGGCCCAGTCAGGGCAAGTGTGGGAGGCAACCAGTCGATATGTCTCTCACGATGCTTCTCTCTCTCACTCTATCTCTCTCTCCCTTCTCTCTCCCTCCCTTCCACACTCTCTCTAAAGATCAATGGAAAAAGATCCTCAGGTAAGGCTTAAAAAAAATCCTTACCCTTACCCAAGGATATGTATCTTTACAAATTGATTTTAGAGAGAGGAGGTGGGGGAGGGAGAGAGAGAAACATGGATGTGAGAAACATTGGTCCGTTTCTTTTAGTATGTGGCCTGACTGGGGATCGAACCCAAAACCTGGGTATGTGCCCCGACCAGGAATTAAACCTGCCACCTTCCAGTTGTACGGGACAATGCTTCAACCAACCAAGCCACACCGGCCAGGGCTGGTATACACATTTTGTTCATCCCTTCATCTGTTAATGGACACCTGCACTGTTTCCACCTCCTGGTTGTTTGGGTTATTGTGAATAATGCTGCTACGAACACGGGTGTACAAGTATCTGTCTGAGTCCCTGCTTCCAATTCTTTTGGTATATATCTGAGAGTGGAATTGCTGGATCACATGGTAACTCTCTATTTAATTTTTTGAGAACTGCCAAACCGTGTTCCACAGCGGCTGCACCCGTTTACATTCCCATCAGAAACACACAAAGGTTCCAGTTTCTCCACATCCTCACCAACACCTGTCATTCTCCATCTTTTCATGTGCTCATTGGTTGTTTGTATATATTCTTTGGAGAAATGTCTATGCAAGTCTGTTGTCTATTTTTGAATTGGGTTTTCTGTTGCTGTTGTAGGAGCTCTTTATATATTCTAGGTGTTAATCCCTTATCAGATATGTAACTTGGAAATATGTTCTTCATTTTATGTGGATTGTCTTTTCACTTTTCTGAATAGTATCCTTTGATGTATGAAAGTTTCTAATCTTAATGAAGTCAAACTTCTTATTTTGAAATAATTTTAGATTTACAGAAAGCTCAAAGATAACAGAATTCTACTACACCCTTCACCCAGCTTCCTCTAATGTTAACGGAGGTTAACTAAGCTGTACACTATATTAGGATTTCACCAGTATTTCCACTACTATCCTCTTTCTGTTCTGTTCCAAGATCAAATCAAGGCTACCATATTGCATTTAGTCATTACGGCCCCCTCTGGTCTGTTAAAGTTTCTTGGTCTTTCCTTGTTTTTTTTTTTCTCTGTTGTTGTTTTTATGATCTTGACAGTTTTGAACAGTACTGGCGAGGTATTTTGTGGAATGTACCTCAACTTGGGTTTGTCTGATGTATTCTTGTGATTAGACTTGAAGTGGTGGAGATTATGCTATTTTGGGGAGAAGAATACAGTAGATATGAGCTGCCCTTCTGATCACATAGTGCCAGGGTGCACATGACATCAACATGTCTTATCACTGGTGATGCTGACCTTGATCATCTGGTTGTGTGGTAGGATCTGTCAGATTTCTCTGCTGTAAAGTTTCTCTTTTTCCCTTTCTACTCTCTACTCTTTAGAAGCGAGTCACAGTCACTAGGACCAGCCCATC